AGGTATCATAACTACATAAAGCTTAACTAATCACAAGAGGTACTTTTTAAACTCTGAAATCTGAAATGTCGCTCACAGTACCATATCTATCCTTGATGTCATGGGGAAAGCAGTTGAGAATGGCTACATTCCCATTCTCACGACGCTAGAATCACTTCCGAAGGCTGCTATAGATATCGTCCTTTGTGGTTGTAAAAAGGATTGCTCGTTAAAACTTTGTACAACTCTACAATAAAAGAGTTGTACTTTTCGTATTTACGAGAAAAAGTTGGTACATATATTGATACTTGCTGAAGGCCCTGAATTATCCGCGAAATTATAACTCCGCACCACCTTGATGTTCTGAATTTACTCGTTTAGATTTTTAGAAATTGTAGTTTTAAGTTTGCTATGTAAAGATGTATATTGTAATTGTACTTCAACCTGTTCACTCTCTGGCTAGCATCTATTTCCACTAATTTATCCTGAATGTTCTCATATTCGTCGTACACCTTCACTAACATACTAGTTTCCCTGTCACTGTCAATCAACAAATTGTCATCAGTTGCCTTTACAAAATGTTCAATTCTAGTAATTTTCGCCTGAATTCTATTTCTACCTCGCTTGTGTACCATGGTATCCCTATCTGTCATTTTGTTAAAAAAACTTATTCATGTAAATATTTCCGTAACAAGTCTTATGTCCCTACAAAATAATCCTTTCTCAATAATCAAACCCATGTATGTATGAGTTATGTCCATGGTTATGTCACATCTGTTGATTTAACAAAGTACCTATCAGGTTACTGCCGGCATTAGCGTTTAAGCGAACTTTAATATGTATTTTAATAATCAAACTAAACATGGACTATACCTATAAGCACTAAGCTATAAGATAACGTATGTGTAAGTGTAACAATATATACTCGTAAAATGGTGTGACTGTATTTTTTGGAGATGCTGAAGGTTCACCTTTGTTCAACCCTTTTTGTAAAATATGTTTGAAACGATCGCTTTAGTTCGTATCCTTGATCTTGTGATTCGGTTTTGCCCTTGTAAAAAACTGTCCTAATAAAGCTGCCACCAATCCACAATCCTTTCCTTAGTGAAATCCCGCGAAATCACTCGTATGAACCCTTTTGTTCTCGATTAATCCGCCTCGAAGACGACAAATTTTCAATCCAGCAAGCCTGGTTGGGGTAGTTGGTTGGAAATAAGAACGAGGTAGCTTTTCACGATTTTTCCTTTATTAGCACCTTACACTGTTTCTTATACTAAGCGGAGTATCCTTATACAACTGTGCTTACTGAACTAAACTTAAGCCTAGAAAAATGAATATATAAAACAAAGTGGTTTGAGAGTCTTTTTCCCAAAAGGACTCTGCACTCTGCATTTGATATACTGCGCATAATTTTTTTTTAAGTAAACACTTTTTGTCTCCCTGCTTCAAAGCTTTGTTTTCTGTAGCCAAATGAGTCCAGAAAGTTATCATTTGCTGGCCTAGGCGGGCAAAAATATTACTAAAAATTGGTTGGTGTAACTGATTTTCATTTTTTCAATGACATTTCTAAATTGAAATTAAATTGTTAGAATGATAGGCATTTGTGCAAATTCCATTTTAAGCACTTTATGGCTTGGTAACAGTAATATCTAAATGCGTTAGGTAAGTACCCTAATCAAGGATTGTAAATTTCACTTACAAGTTTTCGTTTAGTGAGGTTATGACACTTGTACATAGTTACCGATGGTAAACTTACTATTTATGGCAAAAAACAGATAGCTAATTGAAAGTATAGGAAATTGAAGTTTACCTACTTCCACACTGCAAATATAGGAATGCCAAAAAATGGTTTCGAATGTAAATTAGCACAGCCAAAAAACACAACACTAAACGGATGAACAGTAACGGCACTATGATTTGTAATTATTATTAGTATATTTCTTTGAAGATTATAGTTTCCGAAAAGGAGGTGTACGCATATGAAAACGGCTTCTTGCCGATATCAATCCTCGTATCTATGATGAAAATTCCCGACATCAGTTACTTCCGTCATAGCGGAAATACAATGTAGCGTAAAGACCACAAAATGGCAACTGTTCTACAAAATTTCATTAACTATAAAGCTCAACGATAAAAGTTTGTTGTTCTATAGTATTTTTTAGGGTTTTTATTACTATAAGCTTAAAGTTCGATAAAAACGTCACAACAGATTATGGGCCCCCAGGTGCGTGCTAACTGCTACTTTGTGCGTGATTGAACTTAATAATAACGTGAAAAGAAAACTGAAGCGCAAGCAATGCGTGTGGGAATATAGCGTCAATGTAACCCAAGCGTAATGAGTGCGGGTTTTTTTGTGCAAAGGTTACAGAATTTGTACAGTCCTTTGCGAGCTAATTTCATTTTTCTAGTAACACATACGTTGTGTAGTAGATTCTTTTGAAATTGTTCGCGTCATTCATTGGAGAGCTAGGCGATTATCTAAATGCGACAAATTTAGGCACTTACCCGTGTCTCGCAATTCATTAGTTTATACGTAGACATTCAGTTAGTTAACGATACAAAAAGGCTTCTAAAATGAGATTAATGCAATAATCCAAATTTTCATATTAGGAACCACAGTAATGTTTGAAAAAGGAAATTCGACGTTTGTGAAATATTTTTTCAGCAATTTGTCGTGTAAAAATAGTTGAATGTTGATGAAAACGTTGGAAATATAATTAACAATTCAGGAATGGAATAGGTCACGTGAAGCCTGAAAACAAAACCGTAAGGGTAAGAAAGTCGCATTCAGCAAAGCGAGAAAAGTTAGTTGAAAAAGGACATGTTCAGTGCTCAGCATCAGAGTTGGACTGGGTCAAGCATAGAGTGACCCAGTGACCCGGTGACCCAGTTAGTTTACTGACCCAGTGACCCGGTGACTCAGTGACCCGGTGACTCAGTGACCCGGTGATCCAGCTTGACCCGGTGACCCAGCTTGACCCGGTGACCCAGGTTGACCCGGTGACCCAGTTTGACCCTGTCACCCAGGTTGACCCGGTGACCCAGCTTGAACCAGTGACCCATCTTGACCCAGCTTTACTCAGTGACCCAGCTTGACCCGGTGGCCCAGTAATCAAATTATTGTTAGGTATCATCCAAAACAATTTCAAGTAACTTTTAATTTAAAAAAAACTTCCTCATTAATATTCGCCAACAAGCACGTAGCCCAATTTCATTCAAGAGAACTAATACCTAAAAAAATCAAATGCATTTGTTTATAGTTTGTAGTCAAGTAGTCAATGAAAGTATTTAGAGGAAAGATTTATTTGAATTAAGCTAACTAGTAGAAAAAAATTAAATGTGAATGAACACCTGTAAGCAAACTGGTAAGCCCTGAAGCAAAGAAATGAAGGAGGGAACTGTTTAGAAATAACATTATTCTAATACAATTCGGGACATGGAAAGTTTTTTACGGCAGTATTAAAGCAAACATCACAGAACCGGCAGTTGTCAAGCTATCGAGTATTATTTTCAACAAACCAGCATTTCATTTATTTCATAATCTGTACACTTGAACCGAGGGCACTGACTTAACTGCGTTATTCGATCAAACTAGGTGACTGGGTCGAATTGGGTCCCCGGATGAAATTGGGTCGCTGGGTCAAACTGGGTCACTGGATCAAACTGGGTCACTGGGTCAAGTTGGGTCACTGGGTCAAACTGGGTCACTGGGTCTAACTGAAAAGAGTATGACGTGACCCAGCGACCCAGTTGACCCAGTGACCCAGTCCAACTCTGCTCAGCATAAGATATTGAAAGGTTCTGTAGAGAAACTGAGAGAAATATGAATGAAGCCAACTGACGTGCGTCAAGAACCGATTCATATATATATAGTAACTAATACTTACCTCCTTGACAGCTCTGTTGGAGAAACAAAGTCAAAGCAGCACACGCAGATGACCAGCTTCAACGGTATATCAGATCAATAAAAAAAAATACATTGGAAATTTTAACGTTGGGAAATCCATAGTTACCTATTAGAAATGGGGAGAAGTGCCTTGACCAAGTACAATTATAGCGAAGACCTTGATACAGTATAGATTACTTTCCGAACACCGTACGAGGGTGCAAATTGAAAGGTAGATTTGATTAACTAAGATTAATGTAATTCGAAATTCGCAACCCTTTTGTAAAATTGTGAATATCCAAAATTTTATCCGTTCGCTAAATTCGATATAGAACAAAGCCCTTAGAAGTGAAAGGCTGTAAATTTAAAGTCTATACTACATAGTGTGACACGCATTTGAAACGATCTTGTTTAAGACTTACCATTTCTTTGACCCCCATGCCAAGCTGGATTTTACGCGTGAAAATTAGAAATATATGTATTTCCATTCTTCTAAAATGTATGCAAATTTGTGTATAAATTCGACAGGGTGTAACGAGTAGTACATAAAGTTTGCCTTTGCCTACCTTTTGAAATTCCGTCAAAATGCTTAAATACAAACATTATTATAGATCTGTAATTCATAAATAATGATGATCCTTAGTAAAAAAGATTGCGAACTTAATGAAAGATTTCTTATTTGCATAACTTTTATAATTATTGTGTGAGAATAGTTATTGCGTCATGTTGTTGTTTCAATTTTTTACACCCTAACCCAGGCCCTAACCCTACAGGGTCGCAAATGTATTTTTAATTAAATTTCAGTGTTTTGCACCCTGTAGTCGACTATATAGCAAACTATTCGAATGTAACTGCCGTTTTTGTCTTTAATGACTGACTCACCCCCGACTTGGTGTCCTAGAGCGTTCGGCACCTACCTAATTACGCCACTGCCAATTTAAGATATTGTTACTCATAGTATCTGAACTGAACTTCCATCTTGTGGGTCATGCAATATCATTATAGTGATTGTTTTTATATACGTTAATAAAATTATGTGTTTGTATGGCAATATTATTTAACATATTTGTTAGAAACGCTTTTTTACTAGGCCATAAACCATAATAAAAATGACATCATTATTTTATTTTTTCAGAGATGGGAAATTAGATTTAGAAGAATTTAAATTGATTTGTCGTGCATTATTTCGAAACGACAAAGGAAAAATATACAGTTTACAAGAAAACAAAGTGAGAGAAATTTTCAACGTGTTCGATAAAAACAATGATAATTTCATCGATAGAGAGGAGTTTACTTTCTGTTGGAACCACTGGATCAAAATTGTAAGTACCGATTACGAGTAGAAAAATATTCAGCTAATAAGAATGCCATCGTCGAGCTTTATTAAAATTTGATATCAAATTAAATTTTTGCGGGTACATTGTTAAGTATGGCGGTATGAGAGGACAAAGGAATGTGTAGATTATTATTATTATAGAAGTAATAATAAGTAAAGATAATTTAAAATAATGAAAATACTTTACTATGCGATATATTAAATTAGGAACATAAAATGGGAATAATATGAGTATAGTTTACTTCAATTTATAGCGTAGTACATATACAGTGTAAAAGTACTCTCAATAGATTGATTTAAACAGGTGCTTACATTTTATTCTTCAACATCCCCTATCTTGTTGAAATACGTTTTAAATGATCGAATATTAGGGCACGACCTAAGTTATACTTATAAGATAAAAGTAATTTATTCCAAATATCATAGGAAATGAGTATCTAAATATTTACTTTAGGAACATTTAAATCTACTTAATTGAAAAGATTCAACTATAGTAAACATTATTAGAGTAATTCATCTGTAAAAATTAATGCAATACTTCTAATTATAACTATTCGAGAAATATTGGTAAGGCAGGGGGGTATGTGGCACTGGAGTCTGGACCACACTTAGAACGTAGGACTTTACTTTCAACGGTTTTTTTTAGTAGGCTCTTTTCTATTAACTCTACAAATAAATAAGTGTATAAAATTATAAATGTTTCGGAGCAAAAGTACAAGAAAACTTTATCTCTTTTCAGTTAATAGTGACGAGCTTACGTTAGTTTATTATTATGACTAAAAGCAAATCGCATTGCACATTGATACTAATTACTTTTTGTTAGAGGACGCTAGTTGAGAGTATCTACACGAAATTATACAACTGATACGGTAATTACACGCTTTACATGCCTACGATAAAAGGTAACATATTAGGTAAATGCTGTTCACGCAACTTCCATTTTTAGCGCTTATGTCCTCGATTTTCGTATTTTCTTGTGCAGGATAAAGCTTTGCTCCTAGCCCACGTATATTGTAGCTGATGCTTCCTTGTTGTGCAAAGTAAAGTGTTCCAAAAAATTACGTAGGGGAGTGGTGAAAATTTTAACGGTACGGATGCATGCGTTAAGAACTTTTCGAAATGAATGATTACATTCAAATTTTCTACACTAAGTAGTGCCGTATACCTTCCAATTCAAAAGTATTACAGGAGCAAGCGCGAGCCCTAGGGAGGGTTGTGTTAAAATGTTTCTAACCTTCATGGCATTCTAATAGAAAGTATACTTAATACAAAGTCGGAAGTTAATTGTAACTGGAAAATGAAGGGTGTGGACGTGATGTATTCGATCCGAGTGTCGGAATACTGTACTTTTAGGAGAAAAGAGAAGGTCTGGATTGCTTTTACTACTTCTGTAGAACAATTCGGCAGTCTTGATTCAAGGGGGGTATAGAATAACTAGCGAAGTTACGACTGCTCTACATAAATAAGGCGTGGAATGCGCACCCATACTAATTTCCGTACAATTCATATAGACCTGCATAAGGATTGTTGGGAGTGGGTTGCTTTGACAACATCTGCACCGTGTCGATTTTAATTTGTGTCACACATTGCCTGAAAACGACTATTATTCTTGATTGACATAACTTATTTATATAGGTAATAAGTATGAATTGTTGCTGAAAAAATATGCAGGGATGGACTGAGGATCAAAATTATAAAATTACCCCAGCAGTTTATTTTTCTGTTCTTTGTGTTGGGCACATAAGCTTATTATGTGCCGCATTACCAGATCTAAACATGTTTGACACTCCTCGATTCTCAGTGATTAGTGAACTATGGACGAAGCCTGTGTGGCCCTTTCGGAGTAGTCTGGCTAGATGATTTTTCTCGTCTGCATGCTGTGGATTTTTGTCTGAGATGAGATTACTCCGTACTGTACTGATTTTAATTTCGGTGATAACGAACTGGTTCATTTCCAGCGTTTTTATTGGCTATAGTTTTCGAGATTGGAGTGAAAAGCCTAAAATGATTTAGCTGCTGCGATTTTGACGAAGTATTTAGGGATAGCTAGTGTTTCTTCTAGATAGGGCATAGTTCGAAAAGCTTCAACTGAGAGGCGTATGGCTTGGTTCTGTATTGAATTTATTAATTTATTTAGATCTGATTTAGACGCTGTGATGTACAGGATTAATCCGTAGTCAACGATTGATTGAAGATGACTTGTGTAGGTCCTTAACATTGATTTTCTGTCGTGTCCTTAGGTTGTATGATTTAGTTTTTTCATAGGATTGATAGCACCGTTTGATCTGTCTTATATAATGCTTTCTCCAGTTCATTTTTGTGTCAAGATGTAGACCCACAAATTTGTGGAATTGAACAATTGCGATGGTAGTTCCATAGGAACCAGCTCTGGTATAGGTGGCGAGGTCGTCGGTGAATAATGAGTATTGTACTCGTCATTTAGTGCTATAGTATAAATAGGAATCGACTTAAACTGTGCCTAAAGGGTGTACCGGTTTCTTATTGGGTCTGTATGAAGCGAGTTAGTTTGCATTTTAGATTGAGTTTTTCTCATACTTTCATTACGGTCAGCTTCCATATTTGATCGAACGCTTTTTCGACGTCAAAGAAAACGCTTACCGTAAACTCTCGTGTTGTATAGCCGTCGATTATTTCGTTCTGGAGTTTTATCAATTGATCCGTTGTGGAGTGCTTCTTTGTGAATCTGCACTGGTTTTTGTAGATCATCATTCATTATATCTTTGTCCTGTAAATGGATGTCTTGTCTGTTGGGCTCTGCAATTTCTAAGTGGAATGCACGAGGGTGCCGTCTGGACTTTCAAAGGCGCTTATTGCGGCGGAGGTAAATTTTCCAGAGAGTCTTAATTTTATTCCAGACTTCTTTGGCCGAAGTCCTGGAGTTGATTAACGATATCAACGGCCTTTACAATGTCGATAATATACAAAATTTTGATGTAGGCTATCCCAAAAAATACTTTGTAGAATATTGGGATATAGGTTTGATTTTTTGAATTGGTCAGCATTTAGAACTGTGAGATGATGGTGCTTCCAATGTGATAATCCCTTGTGTTTAAGTATACTTCACGCACGAAATGCATATTTCTCAAGAACGAATCCTTTGGCCTTGACAAACCATTAAGAGGAAATTAAAGATTCCAACAACGAAATCGTTAAAAAAGTCAACTTTCTAAACACCTACTCACGAAATAAAGTGTTGTTTAGTATGAAACCTGACTAATGGGCGCTAAAACAATAATCGAAAGTAAATTACTCTTAAGGCTGGGATTGCCTGAAAAGAGAAGTACCCATAGTAAAGGACAAAGTTTTTTTCGTTAGAATGTGCTGGTACCTAATAATGAATAGCGTAACTACAGCAGTTTTCTATACAAATATTTAAATAATTATACTCTCTTTAAGTGGGCCCCAAACAACACAGAGGGAGCTTTAAAAAAAAGGCAATTTGATTTGCATAACCACACGACAAGAAGATACAAAACACAAACGCAAGGTCGTTCACGGCTCCTTACAGACTGCTAGGTTAACAAAATTATAATTAGCGCTCTACCACAGCTTACTTAATAATGAACCGCTTGTAACGTAACGTATGAAGTAAAAATCGCGTAATTATTGGCATGGGGGACTTTCAAAATTAAGATCGTAAAATTGGTTCACAAGTGGCGACAGGGGCTTTTTGTTTGGAAGGGCCCTCAGTAAAACTCTTGATTCCTTCACTTAACGGTAAAACGCCGACATTTCAAAGAAAACACCTTTGGAAATTCAATTCTTTTTCATTGTTACCATTGAATAAAGAGGTTTATTCAGTGTCATTACGAAGTGTGTTTGTTATAACGATCCTAGTGCCTATTCAAATAACAGGTAACGAAGACATTTGTAACTAACGAAATGTTATTAGTATTACAGTAGAGACGCGTTTTGACTTTTAGGACTTGGAAAAAGTTCAACCATATTTTCGTTTTTTTTTTGTATTTTTCTCTGAAACGGTAGGGAAATTTCGAATTAGAACAAGCAAAAGCTTTTATGGAGAATGCATTTTTGTCAAAAAGTATAGTAAAAGTTTTTCTTCTTGTAAAGTCAATCCGGGGACATACGGTATACCGATTTTTTTTTAATTTTTTAGCCGTTTATACCTAAATATACATTTGTTCCCCATGTCTTACATTCGAGGGATGGTCTTTTGTAAATTAGTAATATACAGGCTGATTCAAATTCGAGGGCCACCATGGCAGTGCCATATTTATATAAGGGGCAAACGTGGGCAATTGCCCACAGCGGCAAAATTGTAAGGACGGCAAATTTGGAGGAAAACAGAAAAATTAAAATGCGTTCAAATTTTTTAGGTAACCGGTGAATCGGTAAATGAAATGAAGCAAAAATAAAATCTGTTAGTACATTCATTGCGTTGCAAATATAGCCAATGAATGCCTTACTTTTCCCACCTTGTAATAATGGTGATATAGTGATATGTCAAGGGCGGCAAAAAATGTTTGCCCACAGCGGCAGAAACCCTAAATCCGGCACTGCACCATGGGTATCTCGGGAACTGTAAGAGATAGGTAGGTGGTAAAGTTGTGTATTTTGATGCTTAACAAAAACAGTTTTGAAACTGAAAATTCTGACTACTTTCGGAGACATCCGGAAAAAACAACATTTTGAAAATCGTTTTTGTTTTTTTACTGAAGTTAATAGTTGTTTACAAAGATATTTAATAATAAATGACACATTATTATGGCCACTTTTTTCCCTCTACAAGATACTACTTTTAAGTTTGAAGTTTGACGTTTCGTCTCCGGTTAACTATCATCAACTTTGTTTCTTATGGAAGTAATTTTTACTTTTTGTGTCATTTGATAGAGAATTTCTTTCTGATTTCAAAAATGTACACATCAATTTTTTTAATGCTTGTAAAATATCTTTTTTGCCTTTGTCTTAAGTAACGTAGGTACGTAAGTAGTTTCTTGCGTTTTT